AAAACTTTTAATTTTTAGTAACCTTAAGTTTTAGGTTACTGAGAAAGTAAGTAATTTTGAACTGTTATATATTAATGTCTCATGAATATGTAATTTATAATCTCTAAAAAAACTTTTTATGGAACAATTTTTGAATGTGGAATAAGACATATTTATTAATAGACTCAAGTATGTTTGTCTTTCTATACAATTTAAGAAACCAAGAAAAAACTTATACTAATATTTAGCAACTTATTTTTCAGTATTTTATTTTATTTAGAAATGACACGGACATTTCATGAGTATCTATTACTTAATTTATTTATTTTTCTTGTTTTCTTGTTTTTTTTGTTCGTTTATATTTAATATAACGTAATTTTAGGATTAAAAATCACATGAAAAGTTTATTTATAAACATTTATTTACATTCATCTATTTTTAACTATTTATAGGTTACTTATGAAAACCTATGTTAGAATTAGTCATTATATCACGGTATCTTTCTGTTAACCATTTTTACAGCATGTGAATTTCAGGTGTTCACCTAAGTAAAAATCTTAAAGCTAACTACATAAATATTTTGCCAAAAACTGAAAACAGCTATTTTCATTAAATCAGCAATATTAAATTAGTCTTACTTATCAAATGGTTACAGAAAGATCATTCAGGTTTTAGGCTGGATTTATAGTTTTGTACCTTTTGGTCAAATCCTGGCAGCTTATAACATCTAGAAGAGACAAATATAAAACCATCTGATTTGTAAACCCAGGCAAAAATGTATGCTGGCAATTCTGTAGACATTTCTATTTTTATCAACAAATTTAAAATCAGGTTATTTATGAAAGATTTACTTAAGTCACATGAACTTTCAGGCATTTGGGTTAATCACTAAATTTTGGTAGAAAAATATGTACATGTAACATACAGATATTTAAAAAACATCAAAACATAGAGACTCTCAAAAATAAAGACCTTACGGGAAGACCTTACTACATTTTTTTAACCTTAAAAATCTAGTCATTGTTTAGTAATCATCAGTCTTCACTTCCTAAGGGCAACATATTATTAAAACCCATTAATTCAGGCCAGACACAGTGGTTCATGCCTATAATCTTATCACTTTGGGAGAGTGAGGCGGGTGGATCACTTGAGTTTAGGAGTTCAAGACCAGCCTGGCCACATGGTGAATCCTCATCTCTACTAAAAATACAAAAATTAGACGGGAATGGTAGCACATGCCTGTAATCCCAGCTACTCAGGAGGCTGAAGCAGGAGAATCACTTGAACTGGGAAAGCAGAGGCTGCAGTGAGCTGAGATTATACCACTGCACTCCAGCCTGGGCAACAGAGTAAGATTTGGTCTCAAAAAAAAAAAAAAAAAAAAATCAATTATTTCTTCAAATGTTTCTTTTCCTTTTGAGGGGTCAGCAATGCCATGTCAGTACCACCTCTCTGGATTCCTGAATAGACTCCTAACTGCTGCTCCTGTAGCCAGTTTCTTTCTAATTCATCCTCTTTGTCATTAGCCAATTATCCTTCTCGTGGCATCTCATCCATATATCATTTCTGCATGCAAAAGCCTTTAGTGGCTTCCAAGAACACACTGAATAAAGGTCAGACATCTCTGTAAGACACTAACAATCTTCCATAATCTAGTCTTATTTATTTTTTGAGATGGAGTCTCACTCTGTTGCCCAGGCTGGATTGCAGTGGTGTGATCTCAGCTCACTGCAACTTCTGCTTCCTGGGTTCAAGCAGTTCTCTTGCCTCAGCCTCCTGAGTAGCTGAGATTACAGGTGCCCATCACCATGCCTGGCTAATTTTTGTATTTTTAATAAAGACTGGGTTTCACCATGTTGGCCAGGCTGGTCTCGCACTCCTGAACTCAGGTGATCTGCCTGCCTCGGTCTCCCAAAGTGATGGGATTACAGGCATTAGCCACTGAGCCCAGCCAATCTAGTTTTATTTAATTAGTCATGTCTTCACCTAGTTACCTGTATTTTAGCTTAAATACTTTTTCACTGTTTCCTGTACATAACCCTGCTCATTTCTGCTTCTGTACTTTTGCTTATTGTATTATCCCTACTTTAAGTTATCTTTCTAAACGTATCTAAATCTTAGCCTCCTGTAAAGCTTACCTCAAGATATCTTTTGTTATGCTGTTTTCTCCTGCCATTTCCAGGTCCTAATGAGCTCTTGCTTGTCTGAATCCCTAGAGTCTTTTCTCACAATTAATTCTATACTCCATTAGACAGCCACTTTGCTTTATATAACCACTTCAAATGTATATACATTTTCTCCTTAACCAAATAGGTTCCACAAGACAGGAACTCTTTTTTTTTTTCTGAGACGGAGTTTTGCTCTTGTTACCCAGGCTGGAGTGCAATGGTGCGATCTCAGCTCACCACAACCTCCGCCTCTTGAGTTCAAGCAATTCTCCTGCCTTAGCCTCCCAAGTAGCTGGGACTATAGATGCGCACCACCACACCCAGCTAGTAGAGACAGGGTTTCACCATGTGTGCCATGTTGGTCTCAAACTCCTGACCTCAGGTGATCCACCCACCCTGATTCCCAAAGTGCTGGGATTACAGGCATGAGCCACTGTGCCCATCTTCAATGCAGGAACTCCTGCTTCCTAATTCTCTTCTGTTTCCCACAGCACCCAGCACTGAACTTGTGCAAAATAGACAATAAATACTTGTTGAATCAAATTTCTCTTATCTCTTCTTAATTTGAATGAAATCCCTGGGATCAAGGACTGATGATAGAGAAGGGAGTATTGTAATAATGATTAAACAGTAACATGATTAAATGAATAGATACAGTACACATCCTACTGAATGTTTTTCTGCTTATATTTATTTTTTAAAATTCTATGAAAAAGTTCAAGAAGCATTATTATACATGTGTATTTTCCTGAACATAATGTAAATTAATAAATATTTGAGGTCCCCAGCCTCTTATATGGGGCTATCAATATCTTTATATAGTTATTTACATTTGAAACATATTTTGACCTACATTGTTTCACTTAATCCTTACAACAATCCTGTGAGGTAGGTTTTATTGACCCCATTTTAAAGATAAGAAAACAAAGGTTTAGGGAGATTATGTAAATTGTCCAGAGTTTCATAGCTAATAAGAGATGAGAGACTGCAGACCGAAGGCTTCTGATCCCAGGTCAGTTCTTTCCTCTAAACAAGACTTTTAAACTTTGGTTGTTAGAATCCTCTGGGGGAACTTCTGAAATTTCACTAGCTACAATTTTCTATACCAAGTATATCAGAATCTCTAGGGTGGGACCTAAGCGTCAGATTTTTTAAAGCTCCCCAGTTGATTCCAATGTGCAGTCAAGACTGAGAAGCACAGCTCTGTCTAAAGCAATTCTTTCTTAATCCTGACTGTTTAGAATCACTGGGTTACTGCCTAAAGTGTCTGTCTACCCCACACAATTTAAATCATAATCTCTGGAGGGTGAGATCCAAGTATGAGTATTTTCTAAAAGTTCCCCTAGATTATTCTAATGTGCACCCAAAATAGAGAATAATTGCTTAAAATTTAAAGAATAGCTGCCTCTAAGGCTAGAGGATTTTTTAAAAGAATAAATAACTTTTACTCTAGCTGGATATGTAGCCTAATACTTTGATAAGTACAGACTAGAACAAAAAAGAAGCTGAGAGAGTAACACAAAATAAGAAAGGTCATGTATTATCAGGTTTTGCATAAAATTAACTGTTAGGCTGAGTAAGGTTATAAATATAAATGAATGTGCTGGTCTTTTAGCAAAGACATAACTTATTTAACTTACATCAGACTGTCTTTAATTGTGACTAGTCCTTTAAATATTTTTCACCAGTAGTGTTGCTCAGTGTGTACTGAGCTTCCTTTCACAGTCCTCAGCTGACTGGTTTATGATCAGCCACATGCATGGGTGACATGGCTGGCTGGGGCTGAGGATCTGTGGTACTGTAGACCATGGCCACAGAATGGAGCTTCTCTGGGTCAAGCATTTACACTTGGGCTTTTTGACACTGTATTTTAAAAGCATGTGAATTTGGAGTTTAGCGAAGCTTTTCAATTGGTGTAAGAGGTTAGCTGTGAGTTTAGAACTGTATAATGGGGCCGGGCGTGGTGGCTCAAGCCTGTAATCCCAGCACTTTGGGAGGCCGAGGCGGGTGGATCACGAGGTCAACAGATCGAGACCATCCTGATCAACATGGTGAAACCCCGTCTCTACTAAAAATTACAAAAAATTAGCTGGGCACGGTGGCGCGTGCCTGTAATCCCAGCTACTCAGGAGGCTGAGGCAGGAGAATTGCCTGAACCCAGGAGGCGGAGGTTGCGGTGAGCCGAGATCGTGCCATTGCACTCCAGCCTGGGTAACAAGAGCGAAACTCTGTCTCAAAAAAAAAAAAAAAAAAAGAACTGTATAATGTACAGGAAAGGACTATTCAGACAGATACTCATATTTATGATTAGAATGAAGATATTTTGATATTTCTTTAATTTACTTTTGAAATATTTTGATACACCTTTTTGAAGTTTGTACATTTGGACACCAAATTCCATATAAAACAGAGACTTGATCATCCTTTGAACAAACCTGTATCTTTTGAACCTATATAAAGATAAAATAGTGTGGTGCTGTGGTAGGTGTGTCCTTTGTTTTCAGTTATTTTATATCTATATATGTATATGTACATATACATGTGCATATATATATGAGTTTGATATATGGTGATATATATAAATATAACAATTATGTATCTTATGATATAAATAAAATGTCTCACAACTACAGCATGTCTTTGAATGCTCTGCCTTCTGCAATTGTAAGTGAACCATCTCACCAGGATTCCTGCCAAATTCTGAATTTAAAGTGGTGTCATCTGTATAGTTACCAACTAACAAAGGATTTCCTGAGTATATGGTAGACAGCCCATGAAAGTCTTCTAGAAAATATCATAAAGAAACTGAAGTTTGCATGTGTTCACTGGATTTTTCAACTTTATGTTTTTTAGAACCTTCAGGGTTTATAAATCTGACCTCATTTTCTCTTCATGTCTTGAGCAAAATAAACATCTTCTACTATTCTGTGTTGTTTTTGACCCTATATACAGTGCTGGGTAAGTAAATACTGTGGGGAATTTTGCCAAATAATATATTAACAATTTTGATAATAGAATTAGACCCTTGAGCCTATAACAAATGGCTCATGGATTCTTCATAAATCATTTTCTGGGACACGCTTTTGGAAAATAAAGCTCTTTCCTAACATGTTTAAAGGACATTTAGTTAACACCAAGTTAACTGAAGGGCGCTGAGAAGACTGCTATAGAATTAGTATTTGTGTAGAAACCTAACAGAAGCTTAAATGCCACCTGCTCAGAGCAACCTTCTTTGGGTGTCTTAAAGTTTTAGTCTATATCTCATCACATTTTATTTCCATCATTACCTTTATCAGAATTTACACTTATCTTCTGTGTTTATTGTCTATTTTCTCATGAAAATATTCACTGGTAGGTGAGTACGATGTCTCACACCTATAGTTTCAGCTACTTGGGGGCTGAAGTGAGAGGACTGTTTGAGCCCAGGAGGTTAAGTCCAGCCTGGGCAACATAGCAAGACCCCATCTCAAAAAAAAAGGATATGGATATATCCATTGGTGTTTTGTCTATTTTGCTTAGTATATAGTTCACTGAATATTTACTAATGTGTGGCTCTCAAAAAGTCAGCTCAAAAGAGAGAGAAACAGAGATGAGCAATAGTTCAGGCATATCTGCACTCTTCTGTTGTATTATTATACCCAGTACAATCATATGGCATGTGTCAACATTTCAGTCAACAAGGGACCACATATACAGTGGTGGTCCCATAAGACTATAGTGGAACTAGAGATATATAGTAGGTTATACCATGTAGCTTTGTGTATGATATATAAGGACAAAATTACCTAAGAAAACATCTCTCAGAATGCATCCCCATGGTTAAGTGATGCATGACTGTACTTATAAAATCACTTAGCCACACTTACAGAAGCAGAAATCACCACGAGTCTCTTTTAGGCTTTTGTGCTCATGTTCCTTAGTGACTAAAAGTCAATTAGGAGTACATTAGCCTATTTGTTGCCTAGTCAGTCTATATTTTACACTTTTATCCTCCCTTTGCACTTTGCTCATTAGTAACTCCCACCAGAGAACAAATGAAAGTATAACACTTTACGATTCTGTGTAAGTTATGGCACATCACCTTTGGAGGTAAGTTCTCTTGTTACAAGATAGGTTGAAGCTGTTTTTGATGCTTGTCTTACACTATGAGGCAATGCAAGTAATTTTGTTCCTGGGCTGTAAAACACAACAAAACAAAACATGTTAATAGGGAAGAACCGTTCCATTCAAAAAGTTGAAACCTGAAGGGAAAACTTTTAGATGCGTATGTCTTTAATGCAGATATAAAGTATATCTGAGAAAATTGCCTCTGACTTTTTAAAGCCTATTCTTGCCAGCAAATGATGGTATTTGCTCTTTTTTTTTTTTTTTTTTTTTTTGAGATGTAGTCTCGCTTTGTTGCCCAGGCTGGAGTGCAGTGCCATCTCGGCTCACTGCAGCCTCCGCCTCCTGGGTTCAAGGGATTCTTCTACCTCAGCCTCCAAGTAGCTGGGATTACAGATGTGTGCCACCAGACCGGGCTAATTTTTGTATTTTTAGTAGAGACAGGATTTCACCATGTTGGCCAGGCTGGTCTTGAACTCCTAACCTCAGGTGATCCATCCACCTCAGCCTCCCAAAGTGCTGGGATGACAGGTGTGAGCCACCCTGCCTGGACTGGCATTTGCATTTTGAGAAGGGAAGTCTAACTGTCCCTTATCACTCTTGACAAACACTTGACATTCTTGCAGAAACCAGCACACTTACAAGACAAAATGACAATAACAATAATAATACCTAGAAACCTACACACTGAGAAGGGGGCAGTAAATAATAATAGAGAGGAGAGAAAAGTCAGCAGGGCATTCTAGATGAAAAAAAAAATGAAGCAAGTTAAACTTTCTACATGGTAACTGTGATTATGTAGTTAATACACAAAGTAATGACTGGCCTCTCAAGAAGAGGTTAAAATATATTCATTATATTAATTAGTGCAATTTAGAACAATTTCTTTCAAAAAGGAGTTGAAGTTTTATTGCTTTAAAGAATAAGTCTCAATCATCCGGAAATTTAACTTCTGTGGAATACCTCTTTGCCTCTTAAAGGAAATGTTAATATATTATATTGAGGTTATTATTGCAACAGAATCTTCAAAAATATGAGTATGCTTTTATTTGTTTCTAGAATCTATATGACACATATCTGTTCCAGATATAGTATCTACTAAGACAATTTCATAATCCAAAAATATGGAGTAAAGGAGCAAATAGTTGGTTAGCAAGGATATCTAGTAAAACATAAAGACTAGCAAAGATGAAAGGCTATGAAATAAAATGTTTATAGATGGCTAGTCTCATATCTCTGCACTATTCCTATAAATGCATCTCATGATATATATAATCAGAGTTATAGTTATTTAATCTCTCTTTTTGTCCATTGCCTCTTTTAGGTCCATGGTTTTTTGGTGAAATCACTGATGGCAAATTGGGTTGCTGCTTTTCCTTTGGGATGTTTGTTAATGGACATTTCCTACAAGGCAGCGTAACATTTATAATTGGAATTCTCCAGGTAAGAAGCAGAAATGCAATTTAAGAACATCTTGTCCTTCTTGGACTAATTGCATAACAATTATGAATCAAGCTGGGCGCGGTGGCTCACGTCTATAATCCCAGCACTTTGGTAGGCTGAGGCGGGTGGATCACGAAGTCAAGAGATCGAAACCATCCTGGTCAACAAGGTGAAACCCCGTCTCTACTAAAAATGCAAAAATTAGCTGGGCATGATGGTGCGTGTCTGTAGTCCCAGCTACTCAGGAGGCAGAGGCAGGAGAATTGCTTGAACCCAGGAGGCGGAGGTTGCAGTGAGCCGAGATTGTGCCATTGCACTCCAGTCTGGGTAACAACAGTGAAACTCCATCTCAAAAAAAAAAAAAAAAACAAATCCAAAATCCAAAATTAAGTACCATAGATCATCTTTCCTACTTTACTTGCAGGGCAGTCTTTAATAAAAAGACTTCATTTGCTTTTAAAGTGCTTCCTTAAACTCCTTCCACTACTCTCATGTAAACATCTAAAATACGTTTTTTTTTTCCTCTGAGACAGTGTCTCACTCAGTCACCTAAGCTGGAGTGCAGTGGTGCAGTCTTGGCTCACCACAGCCTCCGCCTCGTGAGTTCCAGTGATTCTCCTGTTTCAGCCTTTCGAGCAGCTGGGATTACAGGCATGCACCACCATGCCCAGCTAATTTTTGTATTTTTAATAGAGACGGGTTTCACCATGTTGGCCAGGCTGGTCTTGAACTCCTGACCGCAGGTAATCCACCTGCCTTGGCTTCCCAAAGTGCTAGGATTACAGGCATGAGCCACTGTGCCCAGCCTAAAATACATTTTTCTATGACGGGTTTATAAGAGGTGAAAGAAGTTTTGTTGTTTTTGTTTCATTGTGTTTTTTTATTGACAAAAAATGAAATAAGGGATTTATGGTAGAAAAAATTTTAGATTTCTGAGTAAACCAAAACTGATTATGATGATGAAGAAGGAAAATGTTTTAGAGGGGGAAAAAATAAAAAATAGACACATAAAAAAATGAGTCAGTTATTTGGTGGAAACTGCACTATGCAAAAGCCAGACTGGGGCTTTCCTAGCAATGTACTTGTTTAGGAACCTAAAACTGATGTATTAGGTTTACATTTGATTCCTCTAAAACAAACACACAAAGAACCCTGTCCCATAGGAAAACTCTGTAAACAGATTTGAAAAGTATTTATCTAACGATTTCTTTATTTTACTCGCCTAATGGAGTTAGTGGACCAAAATTTAAAGTTTTGGAAGAGATCCGAAAACATTCAAAATAAGTTCATGACCTTCTAACAGGGCAGTAAAACATGATCCAGCAGGATTAGAGACAGCCAAGTAGGAAAGACCTCTGCCTAGCAAACACTGACCCAAGTCCAGAATATTCTCTGCATAGCAGCATTATATATGTGAGTAGGCCCTGGATTCGTTTCATTTTCTTTTTTTTTGAGACAGAGTCTTGATCTTGTCGCCTAGGCTGAAGTGCAATGGCAAGGTCTTGGCTCACTGCCACCTCCACTTCCCTAGTTAAGCGATTCTCCTGTCTCAGCCTCCTGAGTAGCTGGGATTATAGGCAGCCACCACCACGCTTGGCTAATTTTTGTATTTTTAGTGGAGATGGAGTTTTACCATGTTGACCAGGCTGGTCTTGAATTCCTGACCTCAGGTGATCCACCCGTCTCAGCCTCCCACAGTACTGGGATTAAAGGTGTGAGCCAGCGAACCCAGCTTCATTTCAGTTTTCTATTATGTAGATGGAGGCTGTCTCTAAGGAGCTCTCTCATACCAAGTGAATCCTGAGCCTTACCAAAAGGCAGGGTTTTTTCCTTTGTAAATGTTTACATTCATAATACATAGTACACTAATAACAGATTTTACATATCCAGACCCATGACTCCCAAATCTATATCTCTGATCTAGACCTCTTCTCTGCACTTCAAGTGCCTCTATATCAAACGGCCATAGATGTCTCACAGGCATCTCAACTTAATATGATATCTCCCTAATAGAAATATTATTTCCACCCCCAAACCTGTTCCTCTCTTTTTTTTAGTTTAATAAGTGACTCCACCATTCACCTGATTTCTCCAAGATTTATCCTCAGTTATTCCCTTTCCTTCGTACTCTGTATCTATTTCACCAGCAAGCTGTACCGTGTTTGATCTGCTTCCAATGCGTATCTTGAATCCATCCACTTCTCTCCATTTCTGTTACCCTAGTCTAAGTCATAATTACATGCCTGGGTCTTCTCACTGATACTCTTGCCTCCTTATTCTCAGTTTAATACAGAGTATCCAGTGTGGTCTTTTAAAAACTTTTTAATCAGCTCACTCACTTTTCAGTTTGAAATGCTTTAAAGCAGAGCAGTGATCTGGGTCCTGCTGACTGCCCCAGTTTCCACCTGGCTCATACTCTGCAAGAGGTCTTGCCAAGACCTCTCCCACCTCTGGGCTTTTCATTCGTTCCTTCTGCCTGGAATGTACTTCCATCCTCTTGATTCATTCCTGTCCTTCTGGCCTCTGAGAGCCTTTCTCCCAGTTACCTTCTCATGACCCAGTTATTTCCTTCACTGAACTAATCACCATCTGTAATTATCTGTTTTGTTTATTTTTTTGGTCTTTCTTCTCACTGTTAGAATGCATAAGCTCTATAATGGACCTTTTGTTGTATGTATATGTGTTGTATGTATAATGTGTGTGTATACATTTAGTTCAATTCCAGCTTAACACCACTGGGACCTCAACATAAATTAAATGATACCTGCTTTCAAAGTGAATAAAAGGACATGGGCAAATACACAACTAGGCGCAGGTTAGCTGTTGTGTTATAAGCAACTGTGCTTGAAGCATAATTAGCTAACCCCAAGACAGAAAGCAGCATATTCTTAGAATCCATCAGTAACGCATTATTAAGACCAAACTCTTCCAAAGACTTGGGAGTAAGCTATGTTTCTGTTCTTTTCCAGTTGGCGTTTTTTAACATCCCCTTGATGGCTTACATATGTTGGAGCTTGCTGCAGCGGTGCTTTGGTCACAACTTCAGGTCTCATCTCCATCAAAGAAAATACTTAAAAATTATGCCAGTTCACCTACTTATGCTGCTGCTGTACATCTGGCAGGTTTATTCCTGCTACTTTCTTTATGCAACATACGGCACCCTAGCTTTTTTATTCTCCCCTTTGCGGACTTGGTTGACATTGTCGACACCTGTTCTCATTCGTTGTGTGTGGACACTGAACCCCACCAAGCTTGGAATCTTCATGGTGCAGTTAAAAAGCCACCTGAACTCCTGAAGGCCATGTCTCACCACTGGCAGCTGGGCAGAAGCCCAGCCTTTGTGTATGTAGCCCAGGCTTCCACCCCGGTAGTAGGTGGAAGGCCAGTATTAGTGGGTGAGTTTAGGGAGCTGCTGCTCCTTGGACTCCTGGATGTTGGAGGGATTACCCACTACTGATAACCTGCAGAGTGGACTGCAGAAAAGTCTCAAAAATGATGCTTTTATTCCTTCCCTCCCCAAGGAGGTAAAGGGTTGATTTACTATGGTGAAGAGAAAACCCTCATCTAGGACACCCACAGGGTAGGGGTTGGGTGTGTGTGTATGGGAGTATCTGAGACCCAGTGTGTTTTTTATGGCTACCCCATATAAAGCATCTACCGCTGTGCTTAGAATTCAGCAGCTGTCAAAGGCGCAGTTTCAGGGACAGGGAACCTGTGAGGATCTGGATCCGACCCCGACTACCTCTGAGATACGAGTTCCCTGGTCTATTTTCCCACAGGATTGCGGGCTCTCTGGTTCCTTAGTCGGAAGTGTTTTCAACTAATTATATAAATGAATGAATGATGAATAATAAATACCTTGGGCCGGAGCCTTCTTGTGTGGCGGGGCCTCTGGGGCGAGAGAAGGCGTGGCCTAGCCTGGCGTCTGAGAATGGAATGGGTGGTACACGACCTCTGGGAGCCGGGCGGGGTGGGGCGGGAGGAGGAGGCGGGGCCTGGCCTGGTGTCTGAGAATGGAATGGAAGGTACGGGACCTCTGGGATCCGGGTCGGGTGGGGCAAGAGGAGGCGGGGCCGGGTCTCTGGGGCGGGGCGGGGCGGCTTGTTGCCGGAAAGGAGTCCCAGACGCAGCGACCCGGAAGTAGAGCGGCTGTCACAGTGCGACTCCCGCTGCGGCGGCAGAGGCCTGTGTTTGCGGCCTTCTGCGAGCGACGAGGATGGCGAGCGCAGGGGCACCTGCAACCGCAGTCCCCACCTTGGCTCCGCCTTTGGAGCAGCTCCGGCACTTGGCAGTGGAGCTGCGGTTGCTCCTGCCTCGAGTGCGGGGTGAGCTTACGGAGTGGGAACGGGCGACGGCAGGGGCGGGCTCGGGGTCTGGGAGAGGCCGGGCTCCGGGTCGGGTAGAGGCCGGGCTCGGGCGAGGGAGGTGGCTCCGCTTACCTCAGCTTTTCTATTTGCCACCGTTCGGCCCCCCAACGCCACACCCACCAGTCGGCGAAGCCCAGGAGACTACTGAGGAGTTTAATCGAGAGATGTTTTGGAGAAGACTCAGTGAGTGCGCCTTCTGTCCGGGCTCCCCTGCCTCAGCTTCTCTAGCGTTCCAACCCCTTTCCCTCCTACTCCCCACCGCGGGAGGTGACTGCCCTCCCCCGCTGCATCCTTTCTGTGGGATGCCTTATCCACCTCGGCACCTGAGGGAGTGAAATAGAATTCTAACATCGACATTGGGAGATGTTTTTGAGAAGTCTCGGTCGGTAAGGGAACGCGCTTCTTCCAAGTCCGTGCAGCACTAACATATTGGCACCTGCCTCTCCCTCTGCCACCCCCCAGATGAGACAGCTGTGATGGTGTCAAGGGAAGCCACGACTCTGACCACAGTCTTCTCTCAGTTTCCACTGCCATCTCCACAGGTGGGCTTCACTTTCCTGGAGTCCTTGTGCTGCTGAGTTACACATTTAGGAATCCTCTCATTTTCTTTCCACCTTTTACATGCATGCCAGATTTATCTTCATCTGTCCAATGAGGTTACAGTTTTTCCTTCACCCGATTATGTGAAGACCAAATTGCAAAGTGCAGTTCCTGACGCGGAGTAGGCAGGTCTTCTAAATATTGATTCAATCAGAAGTTCACCCTGGTTGTTTTCCTTTCCGATAATTTTTTAAGCACTTTTTATTTGCTGGGTGTTTTCACATACTTGATGGCCATCAGACAGATGAGCAAGCAGGCTCAGATGCACAGGTTAAGATTTTTTTAAAAACCAAGGGAGGTAGGATTTATATCAAGATCTACCTGATGTCTAAGCTATACTTATTCTGTTATACTACATAATAACCTTTTTATATTGAATTTTTTTATATTTAAGCAGTAACATGTAGACAGTATAAAATTCAAAAGAGATCAAAGTAAAGTATACTAAAAGTTTATCTTCCCACCCACTTTCTCATTTTTGTCTCCCCCAGTTCCTTTTGCATTATTCCACATATATTCTGTGCATATATACATTCATGTACATTTATCTGTATATGTCAGCTTCTTTTTACACAAATGATAAGATACCATAAACACTGTTTGGGACCTTTCTTTATAGAAATTGACAATATGTCTTGGAAATCAACTCTTAGCAGTACCTATAAAGTTGCTCAGTTCTTTGTCATGACTGCATGGTATTCAATAGAGTAGATATAAACATAATTTAAGCAGTACTATATGTGGACATTTAAGCTGTTTCCAAATTACAATTACTGCAAACAGTTCTGTGATGAATTACCTAATTCTGTTTATGTGTGTATATAAGGAGAAAAAAAATCCCAGAAGTGGAATTGCTAGAACAAAGAATTTATGCATTTTAAGTATTCCTTTGTGATAAAACTAATGAAAGTAAACATGTTGGCTATGACCAGCTATGCTCTATGCTCAGTTTTTCTAGAGCTGTGTATCCTTAATATGGGAGTAAGATTCTTGTAAAATGGCATATTCATTGCTTTATTTGATTTTCAGTCAATAGTTTCAGTTTTATCAGTCTATATATACAGGTGTTTGGAAAGAATATAAATATCTTCTGCTATGTGTACCTACAATGATAAACTCTCTCCCCCTATATACCTTTGAGTTTTGTTTGTTTGTTTGTTTGAGACAGTCTCACTCTGTCTCTGAGTCTGGAGTGCAGTGGCAAGATCTTGGCTCACTGCAACCTCCACCTCCCGAGTTCAAGCAATTCTCCTGCCTCAGCCTCTTAAGTAGCTGGGATTACAGGTGCCCACCGCCATGCCCGGCTAATTTTTGTATTTTTAGTAGAGACAGGGTTTCATTATGTTGGCCAAGCTGTTCTCATACTCCTGACCTCAGGTGATTCACATGCCTCAGCCTCCCAAAGTGCTGGGATTACAGGTGTGAGCCACTGTGCCTGGCTTACCTTTGAGATCTGCAACAAGGAAACGAGATGATTTGTATGAGAGCACTTTAAAAGATCATGGAAATAGACTACTTATTTCAAAAAGAGTAGTTAATATTATTTTTCTTATCTGCTAACCTGTTTCTTTCAAATACACTTGGGATTTGTTGCTAAAACTCACTGCAAGTAAGATACCATGAGGAGGCAGCATAGAACTGATTTTCTATACATGCTCAGGATAGTAGTTATACTCATAGATGAAAAATTAGAATATGGATTTATTTGAAATATGTACAAATATTCATGTATATAAATATATTCAAATTGTATATACATGTATGTATACACACACACACATATATATACACATGAATCATCATTGTCTTCTTGGGATCTCACCACTTTAGTCCTACTAAAAGATGAGTTTTTTTAAAATTTCAATCTGTATGGATTGATACTTTAATAAAATTATGTGCTTGGATGTTGAAGAAATGTCAAATTGCCATAAAAGTTTCTAAACACTCTCAGTCACTGTCCTTATCTCATCCCTGACTGGTCACAAACAGTTTGTAGACTGGCACCAATCTGGACCACATTTGCATAGTATTGACTTGGAATTTAACAGAAAATTGAGGACAAGGAAGATGAGAAAGCCAGTGACCACTTAGAAGGAAAATAGTCAACATGGAGCATTGTTGAGTACATGCTAGTACCTTTGGTTACATATTGTGATTCTGTTGAGAGAGAGAGATTAATGGACTAATATAGAGGCTGGTCCATCAGTTGTTCTGTCTCTCTCTCTCTCTTTTCTGTAAAGGACCAGTTAGTAAATACTTTAGACTTTGTAACCAGCTACCCAACTCTGCCCTTGTAGAGCAAACACAACTACAGACATTTAAACTAATGAGCATGGCTGTGTCCCAATACACTTTATTTACAAAAACAGGCAGTGGGGCCTGAGTTGGCCTGTGGACCACAGTTTGCCAACTGCTGGTCTAAGATATCATGAATATCTTTGGACACAGAGTATCAGGAATAAGTTTTTCCTGCTGTTTCGTAATGGTTTATCGAGTTGTCAGCCCAGTGTATACTATATAGCTAACTCCTCTTTGGTATGTGATCAGTATAGCAGAAGGCCTAACTTCATACCAGGACTTCAGAAAATGTTTGATAATGCTGTAGAAATATCTATTCTAGTCTGGACATGTTGGCTTATGCCTGTAATCCCAATACTTTGAGAGGCCAAGGCAGGTGGATCCCCCAATGTCAGGAGTTCAAGACCAGCATGGCCAACATGGCAAGACCCTATCTCTACTAAAAATACAAAAATTAGCCAGGTGTGGTGGCAGGTGCCTGTAATCCCAGCTACTTGGGAGGCTGAGGCAGGAGAATTGCTTGAACCTGGGAGGTGGAGGTTGCAGTGAGCCAAGGCTGTGCCATTGCACTCCAGCCTGGTTGACAGAGCAAGACTCTGTCTCAAAAAAAAAAAAAAAGAAGAAGAAGAAAAATATTTGCTCTATTCCACAGTAGAAGGATTATGATCTAATCTGTTTCCTTTTTCATAGGAAACCCAGAAGTTCTGTGAACAAGTCCATGCTGCCATCAAGGCATTTATTGCAGTATATTATTTATTTCCAAAGGATCAGGGTAAGCCATATAAGTGTTGCATTTATAGTGTAGATCTTTGCTGATATTGTGGATTATGTCTTGTGATTTTTACCTTTACTCAACTTGAACATGTAACTTTCTCCCATAAAATACAAAGATAATTTTATAATGTAAATAACTTCTATAAACAAGCCATTATTCTAAGATACAGATGCTTTGTTCTATTACTTCCCATCTCCCCTGCCTTGAATGACTCTTACGGCTTTTAATTCTCACAGGCTCCTCCCTCTCAAACCCATTTTTAACACCACAGATACTGGCTGGCTCTCAGCCCCATATGAAGGCTCAGGTCATCCTTACTCTCCTCCACCCATGTTATATCTCACCCTATTTTGGAACATCTTCATAGGTTAAATGGCCTCCAGCCCTGCCTGTAGAATCATGCGTTGATTATAATCATGCCAAAATTATAACTGAATACATGTCATGGATCTTCAGGGTTACTACTCAAGTGGTTTAAACTTCAAGTGTTTCATCTACAGTTGTTAAGAGGTCATGGTCTTTAATGAATGAATACATGGTGTCATGGAAAGATTTTGTTCCAAATCTCTTTTGAAGAAAACACTAAGAAATGGCAGGAGGGGCAAGAAAATGTCATGGGGATGTAAGTAAGACCTGAGTTTTGTGTTAGCATGTAGGTTAAAGCATGTGGATGTACATTATCTTATATTCTGTAATACTTAGACTTGGGAAAGCAGATGCTGCTTCTGAAAAGAACACCAGACTGCTTATTCTTTGGGTTTGGCCACAGGAATCACTCTGAGAAAGCTGATCCGGGGCGCCACCCTGGACATCGTGGATGGCATGGCTC